AGGGCTGGTTCCAGTGTCCTGATCCCAGTCTCGGTGCCATTCCCAGTGTCCCACTCTCAGCCCCGGTGTCCTGGTGTTGGTCCCAGTATTATTCCCACTATCCTGGTGTCATTCCCGGTGTCCTGATCCCAGTCCCAGTGTCCTATTCCCAGTATTCTGCTCTTGTTCCTAGTGTCCTGATCCCAGTCCTGGTGTCCTATTCCTGGTGCCCTGATCCCGTTCCCGGTGTCCTGATACCACTCCAAGTGTCCTACTCTTGGTGTTCAGGTGTCGTTCCCAGTATCCTGACCCCAGTCCTGGTGTCCCGATCCCGGCTCTGGAGCCGCCTACGGTCCTTTAAAGGCAGCGCCTTTAAAGGGCGGAGCAGGAAGGGGGGAGGAGAAGAGCAGGAAGGGGGGTATTTCCACGTGTGTTTCCCCCCCCCACCCCGGCACGTCACCACCCATGTCCTGTGTCCCTGTGACCCCTGTGACCCCTCCACATCCTCCGTGTCCCACAAAGGGGACAGTCCCCTTTCACAGGGGCAGGTTCTTCCAACAGAACCCTTCTGGAGGGGGTGTGGGTGGAGATTCCTACCTTGGCTGGGGACCCCCCAAGGTCACTCCTGGAGGTTGAGAGCAGAGATCTCCCCAATAGCTTTGGTCTGGAGAGTTCCATCCATCTCTAATTAAGAATTATTGCTTTTGTGCCAGCTTTAGTAGAATTGCTTCAACAATTGCTTTAGTGTAGAGCACTGTCCTATCTTATCCTGTACTACTGGTAGTTTTAGTGTTTCTATTGTGCAGTAAATAATTCTGATGAAGATCGTTTGTCTGATCATTTGTAACCCTAAATAACTCATTTCTATCAATAGATCTGATTTGCCATCATTAAAACCTGGGTGACAAAAGTGGTTCAGTCACACCTCTGTAATTCCTTTAAACTGAAAGTGTTGGCATGATCCAAGGCTGAGATTGGATCCAGCAGCCCCCAGCACCCCACAGGAAGTTGGGAGCTCAGGGGGGCCACCCCCCTTTGCCAACCCTTCTGTGCCAAAGACCTTCATGGGACCATTGGACCAACCAGACCACTCTGCCTTTTCCACCCTTCTCCCTGTTCCTCCCACTTTCCCATATTCCCCTCAGTGCCCAGTTTCCCCCAAAAGAGTTTTGGGGTCCCAACCCCCACTTTTTCCCCCCTCTCCTGTGGGCGCTGAAGGAGAAAATGAGGCTGCACACACAGAGTTCCATTTCGGGACTTGTCCACCGACACTTTTCCATGTCCCCTTTTATTCCTCTTCTCTCGTGAGCAGCACCTGGCGTTTGTCTTTTAGTCCACTGGAATTCTCAGCATTGCCCCAAAGCAGTGCCCTGATCCCACACATTCCCCTCCCCTCATGTGCTGGCTGTGTTCAGCCACAAAAGAATAGCACATGCTGGTCATGCAGGCTGGTTAAAGTGCATTTGCACTTGGAGAAACAACCTTCTCTCTCTCCAAGCACTTAGCCGAGGTCCATCCTCCCTTTGCATTCCCATGAACTCAGTGCAGGTGCAGAGTGACTCCGCTTGGTCCCACCTCTGCCCCTGTTCTGTTTGGACACGCAGAGTTCACAGCCAAGAGGGCCAGGACCCGGGCTCCTTGTCTTCGGGCTTGTCCCATGTGCTCCCAGAGGACTTGGAATATTGAAATCAGACAGACCATTAAACACCTGCTGCCATATGGTGCTGCCATAGTGACCATACACTGGCACTGCAGGCATGGCCTGCACTGAATGGCCAGTGCAGCAGGAGTCATGGCTGCGGCAGCTGCCGTGATTGCTGCAGAGATGATCCAAGCAATCAGCCATCCACTGAGGATTTCTTGATTTAACAGTTTCCTTAATTCACTGTATCCTGCATCATCCTCCCAGCTTCTGCTTAGTTTCACTGGGAGCCACAGTTTGGCTCTTCCGCCCATGGGAATTATTAGTGATAAATGGAGGGTAGGTAGGATCTGTGATACAACTAAAATAACAAGGATTACATACAGAGGTGTTAAAGGTAATGTCAGTCACATGAATCACAAGGTCAGGTGTGGCCAAGAAGGCATCTGAGTGAGAGGGACATATCATGGCTGAGTCATTAACCAGTCAGTAAGAGTTAGTAGACCCAGTGAATTCCCCCTAGAACAGTGTCTTCCCAATGGGACATCTGGGCAGGGCTTGCTCTGCTCAGCATCCCTGCCTGCTCCTGGGATTCTTGAGGGACAGCCTCTGCATCTGCAGGATTGGATTGCAGGCTGGGTCCACTCAGGATAAGGTTCCAACAGAGGGGCTGGAAGCCAGCAGGGTCCTGTGGCAGTCAGAACACAAGCACAGCCCTTCCCCATACTGAGCACTCGAGAGAACCTTGTCATTAGGTGTCTTCTTGTGGGTTTTTGTACAATACTTGTTGATTCAAATGCAAAAAACTAAGGGTAAATACAGCTTTGTCTACTTGGGGTGTCACATTCCCCCTTTTTTGTTTTAAAAGTATGGTTTTTAATACAGAGCACACATTTCTTGCACCTGGGATAGGCACAAGTGATAAGACCACATTTATGTTTTTTTGTTTTTATTTCTTCTTTTTTTCCTTCTTTTTTCTTTCTCTTATTTTTGTTCTTCCTTTTTTTTTATTTTCCCCCTTTTTTCTCTCTCTTTTTTCTTTCTTTTTTTCTATTTTTCTTCTCTTTTTTCTTCCTTTTTTTTCTTTTTATTTTCTTTTTTCCTTTTTTTTTTTCTTTTTTTTTCTACAGTATCTTATATCAGTTGTATTTTCAAGGAAGATTTTATATAGTTTACTGCCGTAAACAATAAATAACAAAAACTTCCCTGATCACACCACCTGCACCCAACACCGAGATGTTAACAAATACTGGAAGCTGATTAAAACTAGTGCCACAGAAAATAATAAAAACTTCTCCCAATCACACTACCTGCACCAGACACTGCGATGTTAACAAGCACAGGAAACTGAGTAAAACTAGTGCCACAGGACAATAAGAAAACCTGTGCCAATCACACCACCTGCACCAGACCCATAGCCCACACACACTGCGTATAACTGACACCGAGACAATTTACCGAGACATAGGAGCCGTTCTCCACACACACTGCACTCACCAGACTCCGAAATAATTTACCAAGATGTGCGAGCCTGCATGCACCAAACACCCAAATGTGGGACCCGTAGCCCACACACTACGTGCACCAAACATCTAAATGGTGTACCAAAACACTCCGAAACAATTTGCCGAAACGCACAAGCCTTAACCCACACACACTGCACTCACCAGACAAACACCAAAACAATTTACCGAGACGTGCGAGCTTCAGTCCGCACACACTGTGTGCACCAAACACCCAAACGGTGAACCAAATGTAAGAGCCGGAGCTCACTGCCCAAACCACTGCTGGACGACTCCGGCATCTTATGGGTGCCCCAGCACAGGATGTCTCCCGTGGCTTATGGGTACTTTCCCTCTGACCAGTCATTCCCAAAAATGAACCGCGATTTATACCAAACAAATACCTTCAATTTGTCGCAAGAGGTCTCCGTCTGCTCCCTCAGCGAGCTGACTGAAGTGAGGAGTCCCTTCGAGAAAGTCTCGACGGTGCCCTAGGGAGTCCCTGCCTCCAACGGAGCCTGCAGCCAAGCAGAGGAAGACGCCTGCCTGGCTCGCCAGAACTGATGCTGAGAAAAAGCAGTGGTAGTAAAACCCAACAGCCACAGGTGCTATTAAGCTGGTATTTGTTTATTTCGGCGCAGGACGCCTGGGGGACAACTCCGCCTAACACGCAAACGCCACTCCTCTGCCACAGCTCCCGTTTTATACAACTACCTCATACATATTTATTGCATATTTTACATATTCATGAACTACCCGAGAGTGGGCGGTGGTCTATGTAAATCTCGGGACAGGCCTTCTGGCGCCTGCACACTGCTCTCTGCTGGTCGTCTCGGGTGCTCGCAGGGGAGGCAGGCTCAAAGTCTTTATCTCTCTGAGCATGCGCAGTCCTTCATCATCTTCCTCTGGCGACAGCTCCTCATTGGCTGCCCGTCTGCTCGGTGTCCCATTGGCTGCCCATTTGATACATGCTGCTACATAGCATTTTCCCATTGGCTGCCCATTTGATACACGCTGCTCCATTGTACACCCTCCCATTGGCTGCCCCTTCGCGCCACCACGCAGCTTTCCCATTGGCTGCCTCTGGGCAGCTCCCCCTTGGCTGCCCACCAGCAACACGGCTGTGTCTGAGCAATCAGCACAGGAACCTTAAAACTGCACTTATTAAACTGGGCCAGTTACATGGAAACTTAACATTTTCCCTTATCAATAGCACCTTCCAGTACCTGGAGGGGCCTGTAGGGAAGCCAGAGAGAGACTCTTTGTCAGGGACTCTTTGTCAGGAACTGTAGTGACAGGCCAAGGAGTAATGGGTACTAATTGAAAGAGGGGACATGTGGCTTAGATATTAGGAAGAAATTCTTTACTGTGAGGGTGGTGAGACACTGGCACAGGTTGCCCAGGGAGGTTGTGGATGCTCCAGCCCTGCAACTCTCAAAAAGCCAGGTTGGAGGGGACTCTGAGCAACCAGGTCTAGTGATAGGTGTCCTGCCCATGGCAGGGAGGTGGCACAAGATGATCTTTAACTTTCCAACCTCTTAACATCCTGTGAGTCCGTGATTCTCTAAATGTTTGGGCAGACATGCAGCACTTTGCCCGTCCCTCTCCCGCCGGAAGCTGCTCCGATCCCGCCGTTCAGCCGGGGCTGCACTGGGTCCGTGGAGGTGCCCAGGAGCGAAGCGAGCGGAGCGCCGGGAGATGGCGCTGGGTCCCTGTGGATCAAAGCCCCGGCTGTGCCCGGCCGGGCTGGAGCATACAGCCCCCACACAGCCCCACGCGGCCCCCACACGGCCCCACGCGGCCCCCACACGGCCCCGGCCCCGCCTCCCTTCCAGCTTCCATCCGTTGCCTGGCAACCGGGAACGCGGTGACAGCGTCTGTCGCGCTGGTGCTGGCGCGGCAACACCCGCAGTTCCCGATTCTCTCTCACCCTACCCTGTTCCCAGCGGCCTGAGCTCCTTCAGGCAGCGACACTGAGCGCTTCGCCAAGCGAATCCTTGGAGAGATTGTCTCTCCAAAAAGTCGATCTTGCAGTTCGTGGAAAGGGAAAGACTGACTGGGCTCTTCACCAACTGAGCCCTTGCAGAGAACTGCCTTTGAAGATCACTCGTGTCCTTTATTGGAAGGTAAAGCTTCGATATCCTTGATGATGTTCAACTTGACACCCTGCTGTGATAGAACTGGGTTTCCTGAGACATGTCAGGAATTTTTCCCCAGCCCTGGGAATATTAATTCATTGCTTCCCTAGGTGGCCTCAGCTGCTGTGTCCTGGCACAGCTGGTTCCTCTGCCCAAGCTCAGGCCATTCGTGCTCTGAACACAAAGCTGAGGGGCCAGAGCTGTCTGTGCCCTGAGCCTGGAGCAGAGGGGGAATTAAGATCCTTCCTTAACTTGTGGGCTGGGTAAGAGGCTGTCTGAGGTGGGGAAGATGAAGATCTCCCCCCACGGGACAGCGGTGGTGGGCTGGAGCCGTGCTTTATCCTGTCCCTGTGATAGAGAGCTGGGACTGATTTCTGAGTTCTGCTCCTTCCCCTGAGTCTGGCAGGCAGATCCCTGTAGGCTTTATGGAAGTGGAACCGTGGGGCTATGGAAGAGCAGCCAGGGCTAGAGGGCAGGGGAAGCTGCTAGCCTGGATGGGGGCGTGGAGAGTGGAAGCCCTCTGTAAACAGCAGTGTGGGCATAATGGACAGGCTTCATTTGAAGTGAAATGAAACTGCAGTTAGAAAACTGGCACAAGTAATCCAGTTATTCTCAAGACCAAGTAATAAATCACTGAAATCCAGATTAATGTCTCATTCCCCATTAGATGGTAATTTCCAGCTTTAAATCCTAGCTCTTGCTGCAGCATGTCCTGGTGTCCATAAGACAGTGTCATGTTCTCGTGTTTCTAGTCCAAAGTAAATGTTCACGTTTGAGTTTCGTCAGTGCTTGAGACCCACTTTCTGGAGTTGTCTTCTCTTCTTGCCCTTTCTTGCACGACACAAACAGAGAGAGATGGTTGTCAGACTGGTGATTGTTTACCCATAACTTCTTGTAGGATAGGGATGCTGGAGAAGAAGTGCCACTAGGATAAAGTCTGACGTGGTCCTGCTCCCCCATATGTTGCATTTATAATGGCTCATGTCCCTTTAATGGTGTCTCCTCAGTGACCTAGCAAAGTTTGATGGCAAGGTTCACTCTTGTAGCTTACTACATAGATCACGATCAATTCACACACACGCAGAGATGGGAACATCTATATTTATGTGTACAAAGGTACACATGATCAATTCACACACGCGCAGGTACAGAGATGGGAACATCTCTATTTACGGGTACAAAGGTACCTATCAAAAGTTGCCCTTGAGTTCAGTGAAATAATCACATCAAATCCATTTGCATTTCTCAACAGGCAAAAGTACTGTGACTGGTTCTGAGACCTTCACTGCAGCAAAGATTCTCCCTCCCCAGACTTGGTCCAGGGAGGGGGAACACAGCTGATGCAGAGTCTAGAGGTAAGTCTTGTGAGGAGTGGCTGAGGGAGTTGGGCTTGGTTGGCCTAGAGAAGAGGAGGTTGTTACAGTTCCTATACCACCAGCTATGGGCTGTCCACTCTAGCTATTAATTTTTAAGTAATATTTAAGCTACAGCTTTGTCTCTTCTAGCTATTATTAATGTTCAGAATGTTAGCTCCAGGTTTCACTATGATCCATCTTTGAATTACACAACATAGCCATATAGTTCAAATAAAGTCCAACTTCCAGCCTAACAATTCTAACTACTTATGCCAAACAAGCATTTAGCTACTTTCAAATAATATAAAATTTGCAGGACCACTGTATCTTTTGGGTCTGCCAGGAATGGGATTCTGGATTTTCAGCATTCCATTGTTGCTCCTTCCAGGTGAGCTGAGACACAGTCACTGGTAGGACTTATCCACCCACAACATCCTTCAGAATGGATTCTGGATTCCAGAGGAGAGAGGTGCTAGCTCGTCCTCTAAGGCCGAGAGAGGCTGAGAAGCCTGAGCGTGTAAGTACCTGCTGTGGCCAGGAGCTGTGTTAAGGCTGGAAACTCCTCCCGTGTCCCTCTTCTCCCAGCCCCTCCTGCTGTCCACAGCACCGTGGAGCTACAGACCCCCTCCCCAGCTCTTAGGGCTGTGCTTCTGTTGGCAGGGGCTGTCATGGTGCGTCAGGGACAGTCCAGAGTCTTGCCTGGCTGTGCCACTGGAGCCAAGTTAAACCAATGTAAAGCTGAACATGAGCTTGTGCTTCTTTCTGTCCCCTGTGTGTGGGCAGGAATTCCTTCTGTCAGGTTGGCAAATTCACTGTGCTGCTCTGACCACACCTGCCCTCCAGGAACCTGGGCATGTAGTGGGTGGCTCAAATGCTGCCTGAAGCCTTGAGAGAGGTGACTGGTCCCCCCGGAACAGGTTCCGTCTCATCTCCTGCGTGGAGCACAGATCCAGCTCTGCACACAGCAGTGGAATTGGGGCAAGTCCTCCTTCCCACCCACAAACGTCCCCTTTGCTGCCTGGAGCTCACTTGGCTGGAGGTGACCCAGTGCTGAGGCTCTGTCAAGGACATCTCTCTGTATTCTTCTGTGGATGGGACTGTGAGGCCAGACAGAGACAAAACCCGTGCTAATTACAAAGAGAGAACTATGGACCTATTGCTCTGCACCTTGGTCTTGGCACAATGCCGCTTTTCTGCTTCCCTCACACTCAGCCAGCACTGAGATCTTCACACATGGGGGGTTGTGAGCCTTGGGCAAAGATGGAATTAGGGGAGTTTGCCACTCTCTGCAAAGGTCACTGGCTCAATCCAGTGGAAGTAAAGAGGACACAAATTCCCCAAGAGCAGAAGTCCCCACACGTGTCACATCAAATCATGGAGAAGCTAATGAGGCAGAGCCACCTGGTTAGAGCAAGTGTGTTCTGCTCTATACCATTAATTTTCTGATGTTAAATATTTCAGCAGGTAACTTCCAGGACTGTCCTGGTGGCTGTGATCACAAATCAGAGCCACTTGAACAAGTAAAGCCTCTCTGAACAAGGGCATTTCTGAGGCTCTTGCTGGTTTTTTTGCCTTTCAGCTGACCATTTTTGACTTCAGGAAGGTGGGTCTCAGGTTCAGGGAGAAGCCGGACAGCCCTCAGGAGGCAAAGTTGCCCAAGATTGCCCTGCACCTAGGCACAAGTGAGAACTCCAATTACAAGGTAGCCTTTTCCTGCCCTTTTCCTTGCTGTTTGATGTGACACTTGAAGAGGCTGCGTGCCTTGCCTCCAGCTTATTGAAACACCTCAGTGTCCAGGTCCTGTTGTTGTTGCAAACTGCTAGTGGTGGTGGAGTTCCTTCTGCTGGGGCAAAGGCAAAACGTTTTCTCCTAGTGAGATGCTGGAGTCCTGATCTGTGCTAAGCCAACACAAATAATTTCTGCTGAAGCTGGTGGGGTTTGCTGGAGTTTAGCTACCATGGTGAAGGCACGATACCGGGGGAAGGCTGGGGCAGGACACAAGGGCACGAGCTTGCCATTTTCTATTGTCCCTCTGAAAGAGCCACCTCTTGCTTTGGTGTTGTCACTGGCAAATGCTGGGGGTCATAGGATTCCCTGCACAGTGGTAGCGCTGACCTTTGAAGGCTGAGGACCTGAGGTAATTACTCCCAATTTAACACAACTCCAGTCTTACTCAAGTTGCCAGCACTGCTGAGAAAAGAGCTGAACCTTATCCTCATCCAGCATTCACCTCATTTGTCCTATTCCTATCTACTGTGGTACTTTCTTTTTGCCCTTAACCTACTCTGGTGCTGTTCTCTTCTTACTGGTGTCTCAGCTCTAGGGTCTGGAGTTGTGTGGGCCTCAGTCTCCCTGCTTCAGAGTAAAGGTCATCCAAAAATTGTTTCCTATGAAGTCTGATGTAAATTCTTGAGTTTCACTTACTGCTTGGGTGCTCAGTCAGTGCCCAGAGCTCTGGGACCCCATTAGCACAGGGCTGTGCTGGAGGTAAGCGCTGCCCGGCATTTTGGAGAAGGAAAGCTGGAGAAACTCCTGCCAAAAGAGCTGCTCAGCTTGAGCCTGCTCAGTGTGGTCTAGCAGCTTTTGATCAGCTCAGAGCAGAGGTGGGTGAGCTACTGTTCCCCCAGTGGCAGCTGGGCAGACCTAGTCACCAAGAGCCTGTCCTTCACCGGGGATCAAGAGAGGAGTGTTGTTCGCGAGCCTTCCTCCCAGCAGCTGAACCTCTCCCTGCTCTCTCTTGCCTCTCCAGTTCTCATCCCCTGACCGGAACAAGACCTTGCTTGAGCCTTGCCCATCCGAGCTGGTGTTTCAGAACTATGTCCTTGGCAAGGTCTGTGAAATGCCCCTGCTTCTGAGGAATAGAGACAAGGTAAGTTCTGGGATGTGGCGCTTTAACGCTGTGCTAGAAGAAGAGGAGAGTGCTGTAACCCCCATGGTGTACAGCAGAGCAAGTATCAGCCGTAGCACATCCAGATTCACCACCTTGGATTTGCAAGATGGTGGGAATTTTCCCGTGCTGAGGATTCTTCCCTGATTTTGGCCGTGCCTTGGTGGTATCTGACTCAAAGGAGCTTCTTTCCCTTGAAAGCCCTGGATTGATGGGAAGGCTGTGCAGTTCTCACCTGCTCTCGTGCTTCCCCTCGAGTGTCCACCACTACGTACTGTGGCTCCTTGGTTAATCTTGGTTCCCGGCGGGCATCTCGCCTCTCTCAGCCTGTTGAACTGCCTCTGTGCAGCTCGCAGTCAAAGCTCAGGGGCTGAGTCTTCTCCACTTTATGCTGGAATCATGATTAGTCATGATGATGACTAGTTATGATTAGTGGCACTGGCACTGCAGGACATGTGTTTGAAAACAGCCCTGGAATCGGACTCATTTAGCAGAAGCAGCAGGAGGCCTTTGGGTGCCACTTCAGGCTCCTGCTAAGCTTAATTCAGCTCTGCTCAGGTTTTCCAAAGGCAACATGGTGCTCTGCTTTCCCTTTGCAGAACTACAGCACATCCAGAGCAATGTACTCTTGAGGGTTTCCACCTTCACTTGAACAAAGTGTGATTGTTTTGCAATTCCCCAAGAAAGCTGAGAAGGAAGAAGTTGAAAAATGTCAGCAATTGTGTTGCACTGTAAAGAGGAAAACTGAGACCTTTTGAATTTCAGTCAGGGAAACAGTTTCTCAACTGACTCTTGTGCCAAGGGCAATCTATTGGGAATAGACAGCAGGGAGTCCAAATCACCTGGTTTAGACGTGAGATGTGATTTGGTGCTCAGGGGTTGATACCCGTGTGCTAGAAAATGCCTGTTTGCTGTCCCTGTGTTCCCCTGAGGGCAGAAACTGGCAGTAGGGTGGCTGCAGGAATGCCCAGCAGTCTGGCTTGCCTGCACTGGCAGCTACCTGGCCACAATCACTAGGCAGCAAGAGCACCCGGAGAGCTGAGATTGGCTTTTAATAATGAAACCACACTGTCAGTCGGTGCTGCTCATGTTTCTCCAGGCAGAAAATAACCTTTCAAGCCCAGAGTTGACAGGCACAGCCTGCAGGGCCGTCTGGCTTTCCATCACTCTGGCAAGCTGACTGCTCTCATCTTCTGCACCAGCCTTTCCTGGCAGTGTCTTGTGCTTCTTCCTTGCTTCTTTACAGCCCATTTCAATTCTCTTTGCCATCTCATTGTGTCAGGGCTTGTCTCTTTGTCTTGCTGTGTTCCTCCTTTTCTCTTCAGTTTTCCAGTAAGGCCAAGTGTCTGGTCTCCTCTTGCTGGTGTGCCCATATGACTGTGTCCCCACAGCTGGACTTCCCCACTCCACCTCAGTCTGTTAGAAGAGAATTTCTTCCTTCCCTCAGGACAATGTGCTGGTTTGCCTTCAGGTAGCACATTCTCCCTCTGGAACAGGGCTGCGTGGCTGTGTGCAGGCAGAAGCAAGCAGATTCTCTGGGCTTATTGAAAATGAGGATGACTTGGTTCAGGTGTTCTATCTCCATACTGCTGGTGCCTGACCTTCCTTCCCAGCAGGCACTGCCCTACTGCCTCTGGCCGAGCCGCTTTGCCCAGGCAGAGGGATCCAAGTTCACCCTTGTGTAGCCTGTGCTTGTACCTCCAGAGCTAAAAGTCCTTTGGGAAAGTGGTCAAGGAAGGCTGTCACCAGGGCACACCCAGGTCTCCTCCTGTTTCCACAAGCGGCAAAATCACCATTTTGTGTCTTTCCTGCAGGTTACTCGGCTGGTGAAGGTCACCATGGACAGCTCACCTTATTTCAAGTTGGTCGGCCCCAATGGTGTGTGCCATCAGATACCACCGGGCTCATTTTGTACTATAAACATCCTTTTCATCCCTGAGGGGAGCAAGGTGAGTTTGGAGGAATGTTCTCTCTAAAGCCGGGGTGTTTGTTGCACACTGGTTATAGCCCAGCCCGTGCTGTGAGGTCGGCTCTGGGCTGGGGGCAGGCAGCCTGGAGCTGGTCACACCTTGGCACGGTGTGGTGCTGCCAGGCCCTGCAGCTGGGCCTAGAGGGCTTTGCTTTCCCTCTGTGCCTATTCTTGAACGTTCACAAGGGAAGAGGCAGATGGAACAGTAAGGAAATGACAGGGAGAGGTATTGATGTTTAGCCATCTCTAGGCTCAGTGGAAGGGGTTTTATTATGGAAAATACCAGAGGAACAAAAAGATCCAGAGAGCTGTATTCTTTCCCATTGGAATGGAGCAAAAATGATGCTTTTTCACATGCTCTGTTCTCCAGCCTTTATTAGTATGAATTAGTGGTCATTTTTGGGGTGGAAGAGGTAAATTCACACCCACAAAGGGTCATAGAAAACAGCACTTTTTCTTCTGCCATGAGGATGGCACTCAATGCCCTCAATACTGTGCCAGTTACTTTTCCTGCAGGATCATTTCCACCAGCTTGTCTGCATCAGTGAAAGGGAAAAGGTCTCTGTGCCAATCCAAGCCATTGGTGCCCGCCCAGTCTTGGACTTCCCTGACCAGCTGGACTTCTCGTCGTGTCCAGTCAACCACAGCACCCAGAAGACTCTGCTGGTTCACAACACCGGGAACCTGGAAGCCTGTTACAGCCTCAGCACTGAGAGGTAAAGCAGCTCATCTGTCTTAGTGCAAAACACCTTTGGGTGATGGCAGAGTTGGGAAAGAGTATCCCAAAGGAACCAGAGCATCCGAGCTGCTGCACTGCAGCCACAGCTGGAAACGGGCAGGACGTGTGGGGTCTGCTGTTGCTTCTAGTGTTTTAAGCAGGATGCAACTCCTGAGCTTTGTCTTTCCCAGATTTCCTAGGGACTGCTGGAACACGTTAGTAGTTGGTCTGCACCCTCCTGAGCACCAACACCTTCTGAAATGGCTGCCTCCCACTGTCAGCCAAATAAACCCATTCTCCAGGAGGCCTCAAGCATGTGGTACATCAGGGGGCCTCTCATCAGATGCCCACCATGAGCTGTGTTGTGAACAGCCTGTGCAGTTCCTGTTAGTCAAAGCTGATCTGATTTCCCTTGTCAGCTGAGGGCATCAGTCATCTCTTCTGTTTCATGAAGAACCTTTGAAAACCAGTATAAATTTTCAAGCAGATTGCATTCAGATTTCTTTTAAAATACTCTGAAGTTCATGTGTTTCTGCTTTTTTTTTTTTTTTCAGTTTATTTTGTTCTGTGTTAAATTTTTGTCAAACTGTCATTCATTCTTCCTTGGGAACTTTCTTCAAGGTCCTTTCATGCCTGTTGATCTATCATCTGCCCATAGGCATAAGAAACAGGAGCAATTTGGGGAATATGTGAAAATGTAGGAGATGCAGGGACTGATTTGCTCTTGGGTTCTTAGTCCTGAACTTGGCTGGATCCTCTTCTGAGAATTTGAAAACAGGAAGATCCCTTCTTTCTCAGGCATCCCCTGAAGTCAGCGCCAGGAGTGTTATTCTCCATCCAGCCATCTGAGGGCAGGAGTATATAGACATGGGGCAGGAGTAGGAAGGAACAGGAGGGAAGGTAGCGCTGAAGAGTTGCCCCTTGACTAGTAGCTTCTCTGTTCTGGCAAAATTTCTGGCAAAAGAACAGGAAAAAAAATTCCATGCCTTTCCCAGCCCAGGCAATGAAGCCCCAAGCCCCAGCAGAGCCCTGCAGCAGTCCTGGCATCCCCATCAGGGCAGATGCAGGAGCACGGAAAGTAATCCAGCTCTGGGGCTGGTGGGGCTTGTCTTTCCTCCTCTCTCTCCAAAGTCTCAGGCCCAGCACAAAAACATTGCTGGCCCAAGGCTTCTCCATTAGCCAGTAGCGATGTTCTCAACGGTGGTAATGGGCCCGGGTCAGGCCCCTAATTGCAGCAATAGCTCCTTAAGGAGCAGAAATGGCAGCAATTCCATCAGCTGTCACCACTGACAGGAACAAAGTTCAGCTTGCACACGGCTCCAGTTGTTCTTCTTATTTTTTTTGTGTTGCATTCTCTAATCATCATCAGAATCCCCAGGAAATGTTTTTAAGGTGACAAATTAACCATCAGCAAAGCACTAAACTTTTGTTTTCTCAGTGGGGCTGTACAAAGAGCACAAAGCCCAGCAGCCACTGGGCAGAAGCACCTTTGACCTGAGCTATCCCGAAGCATTAAAGCACTGATTTTTGTATCTGTCAGGCAAGAGCTGTTTACCTGGTGACAAAGCGGATTTGCTCCTGTTAAATCCAAACTGCACCAACACATTTGCCTAATTATTTCCCTTGTTTCTCTGGCCGGCCAAGCAAACAGTTACCAGCCTGGATGACACTCCAGAATCCCAGACTGCATCCCTGGTGAATACACAGAAACCTCCTGTTCAGCTCCCTTGATGTGCTGCTCTTAATGGCACTTCATTTAGCTGGGATTGAATCCTTCAGGCTGTAAACCGGACCCTCCTTTTGGATATTGTGTCCACGTCACTGTATTGCTCCAATTTGCAGTTGCACTCATTCAGAGTTTTCATTGCTCCTTTTCTTCCGAGCAGCTTTCATTGAAATGCTGATAAAACGTGCCCTTTCTTAGGCTAAACCAGGATGTTTACAAAGGGAAAAACAACCCCAAACAACCACACTGCAAATTAAACTCATTATTCTCTGGTCTTCAAGGAAGACTTTATTCTCCCTCTTGATTCCTAGGCTGTACTGTCACAGGACAGGGAGTGCCCTGCCATTTGCACCTCTTGAATGAAAAGAGACATTCCTGAGGCAGTCAGTGTCATGTGCATGCAAATAGCTCTTAACCCTCTCTGTGCTCTTCCGAACCATTCTCTGGTGGGATTGCTGGCAGTCAGACCCTTGAGCCTTCATGCAGAGTATGGGGGAGATGAGTTCATTTCATCCGACAGGATTTTCTGAGGGCTGCATCTCCTCCGAAGAGAGTCAGTAGCTGTTTCTGATGCTGTGTGTTCTGTCTGTCTTCTGCTGACTGTGGTTGCTATGCTTCTTGCTTGCACAAGTCAGCTGAAGTGAACTAGACTGCAAATATCGTCCCCAAACCTCCCCCAAGAGTCCTGATCTCTCTCTTGGTCTTGCAGCCCTTTCACTGTCGGTCCAGCCACTGGAACCCTCGATGTTGGTGAAGCCATGCAAGTGACAGTGGAATATCACCCGCTGGAGACCGGGCATCATTCCACATCCCTGGCAGTGCACTGCGACAGAGGTGAGTGCTGGGCACTGCACGGTGCACTCGCCCTGCGTCCTTCCGAATAGCAGAGCCCTTTCTAAGCAGAATAACGTTAGACTTGCTCTGCAAACTACTTGTAGAACTGTTCCTTTCAAAGCCCCTGTGTGTTTCAGTGCTCAGAAGTGAGCAGAGAAGGGGCCAAGGCTGAGTCTGTCCCTGTCCTGGATGTGCTGTGTTGCTGTGTGCTGGTCCATCCCTGGGGGGACCCTGGTGTCAGCATGGTGTTCTCCATCCTGCACCCCCACCACAGTCTTCTACCAGCACTCCTCTCCTCACTGTCCCAGCCACCTGAATTCCCCCTCCAGCAGCACCGCCCCGTCCCAGCTTTACCGCAAAGAAAAGTGAAAACTAGTTAGTGTTTAGGGGGTTGATAAAATGGATGCCCTCAAACAGGGATGAGATCTTGGAATCCTGTTTTGCTGGGAATTGCTGAGTGGAGGAAGGAGGAACCTTGATTTTCCATTGCAGTGTGGATATGCAGGGCTGAAGTTGTATTCCTGGACAGTGCTGTTTGTGACATGTGAGCTTTCCATCCAACTCTCTCCAATGTCATGTGTCTCTTGCTCACCTCTGTCCCCTAAGCTGCTTCTCTGTTGTCTTGCCACAGACCCTTTTTCTATGTTGTCCTCTACACATACATGTAGTTTCTGTCTAAGAACATTTTCAGGCCCTCGGGTTCCTGTTGGATGACAAATCATGACAAATTTTCCCTTATTCCCATTTCTCAGGCCATTCATGCTCTCCAAACCTCTCCCATCTGTCTCCCATTTGATTTCTAGGTTCAGGAACCCCATTCAGTCTTCATATAAAAGCTGCTCTGTACTTTTAGTCTTTCTCTCTGCTCTTCTTTCTTTCATTTCAAATGTTTCAACTTGGTGTTTGAGATCAGAATGATATCAAATATTTCTAGACTGATGTGGCCATGGGTTTGGACAGGGAGGGGATGATGGCTTTCATGGTGTTGATTTTCTAGTGCTTTGTCATATTGAATGTTGTAGAACATCATGTCTTGTTTCCTCACCTTAGTCCCCTTCTGCCATGGGCTTCACTTCCCTTGCTCCCCTGGACCTCCCTTTCTTCACACCTGCCCCCAGGAATCTTTGCTTGTCAGCAACAAGGGATTGGGAGAGGCAGGAGTCTTATGGGGTGCCTTCAGGAAACTCTGGGCTGTGACTGAGTGGGGCTCCTTAGAGTCACCTGAATGAATTTGATGCAGAATTGCCTGGGATCTGAGTGGGTCACCTGAGCACACCTGACAAATCTCACTGTAAATACTGTCACCTCGGGACAAATCTCTACAAACACACGCAGAAATAAGGTGCTTAAGCTGGTGTCCAGGACATCCTCACACTGTACACACGCAGCTGTTGGGATTTGATAAGTGTACTGATCCGTGGAATTACTTATCCAGCTAAAGGCTGGACACTTTCTTCTGTTACCTGTGGTTTGCTCTGGTCCTTGTAATTCCATTAGCGAGTGAGCTGAGCAAAGACTCCTCTTTGCTTTGTTCCAGGTGAAGATACCCACACCAGACTTCTTGGAAAAGCTAAGGACTTCAACATTGGGCTGGACAAGTACTCTTTGGAACTTGACAAGACTTATCTCACACTGTCAAGCCACAGAACCACAGCCATCCACAACAGAAGTAACATCACAGCCCGATTCCAGTGGAAGGCTTTTGCTACTGAGGCAGAGGAGTATCCACAGAAGATCAGGTTGGTCTGAAAGATGCAGTGACATACACTGCCCAAGGGTAAAACTAACATATGGCCTCAGGGGTGCTTGTGCTTTAGGGTGTTAGGAACAAGTAGGTGTTCCTGCAAAGTTTGCAGGGCAGTCACAGCTCGCAGTAAGAAGCAACAAAGTTGCTGGTTTTTCAGGTGTCAATTCGGGAGAGGTGCAGTTTGCCCAGAGACAGGGGGACCAACCAGCAGCATGGGAGGATCATGTGGCCCTGTCCTCTCTTTTGAAGTGCTGTGGCCTCCACCTTGAACAATGTCAGTGACCTCCAGAGCCACCTAATCAGCACATATTGGGGGACACACAGTAGGCCTGCTGGGAAGCCTGTAACTCCAGAGTATCCCAGCCAATGGAGAAATGGGGAGGGACCTATGCTCCGGGCAAAGGGGATAAAAGAAGCTGCAACCTCCACTGAGTTGAGAGACCTTCCTGAGGTCTGTTCAGTGAACTCTCCCTTTTATTAGAGTAAAGGTCTATTTTTTTAGTTAGCTCCTCTGTCTTCTGGCCATTTATGTGAGTTACTTCTGTACAGTCCCTCATTAGCATGGGAGGCGAGAGTGGGAGTGGTTTTGCCATTGTACGTGCTCAGGTCTTAGTTCAGTGGTTGTCAGGGGTCCATTCTGGGGGTCCTCCGAGGCGAGTGCCCCCTAAAGCAATCGTCCTATTTGTGACCCCGCTTCTTGCACTCAGGCAAGTATTCACTTGTTATATAACACAAGGCAGTGGAAGGTGGGGGTGCAAAGCATCAGGGCCTTCTGGCTCGTCATGGGGAAATTACTGTCTGTTGATGGAGGCTGAGCAGAGTGTTGCCATCTCAGTGGCTGGATGCCCTCCTCATGCCCAGCACTGCAGGTCAGCCCTGGAGAAACATTTCTGAATGCGCTGCACAGGGAGCCAGCCATAGCCAATATTTCTGGTGCAGGGAGCCAGCCATAGCCGGTATTTTTGGTGCCAGTGACAGTGTTTGCCCAAGGCTCTGTCTGTGTGCAGCTGGTGATATCCATGACTGTATTTCCTAACTGTGTTTGAATTTGGCTGGGTGAGGGTGCTGTCCTGTTTATACTCCACTGCCTCAATTTGCTCCATATGGAGCCTTCTACTTGTCCCTCCAGTTGCCACCTGCAGGTTCTTCACAGCCAGGGGACTGGAGTCTGAGGGGGGAACAGTGATCTGCCAGCTGGGAAGCAGCTGTTCCTTTCTCATCTCTTGGTTGTGATCTTAAAACACTAGAATGATTTCTGCTGCAGCTACCAAGTAACGGAGCAATTAACTGTGCCAAAGGTCTGCAGAGAAGGCCAAAAGGAGGAAAAAAGAAGGTGGTTCAAGGCTAGATGCCCCCCTCTCAGGGCCTCTGTTTTCATGCATATAAAACCTTTAATGTCACTGAAGAGGTGCCATGCCTGAATTCATCAATTGGCTTTGAAAGTGCTCTGGGATGCTCTGGTGGAAGGCAGTGTAGGGAACAGGGCACACAGGGTTAGCTTATCCCTGCAGGTCCAAAAGGGAAGAAGCCAAGAGTGATGCTGGTAACCTGCAGCTGAGAGCCAGCTTCTTCTTCCCTTGCCAGAGAAGACCTGCAGGCAGTGAGGGGGCTCCTTGATCTTTATCTGTTTCCCCCAAGCAACTCTGTGGTAGGAAGAGTCAGTTGAGGTCACTGGTGGGTTCTCTGTCAGTTTTGGCAGTGGCTCTGAGCCAGGAGGTTCTCTTGAGGGCTGATGGCTTTTAAAACCTCTCCCAAGCTTGTAAGTGTGGAGTAAAAGCACCTGCCCTGCGAGTGAACAACAAGTGATCCTCTGAGCCCTTTGGGACCCCGTGGCTTGGGCTCAGCCCCTTGCTGTGGAGCTACTGCTGCTCCTCCCTGAGCGCTTTGCTGCTTCTGCACTTACACTCAGCTCTGCAAATCAGTGGCTTATTAAATGACCTCCTGCATTTGTTTCTCCCTGTGGCTGCAGGCTGTGTCACAATCTGTCTCGGCCGCCCCTCGAGCTGGTGAAGGCTCTTGTGATGAAGCGCTATGAGGAGCTTGACCTGTACGACCGCGAGTTGGAGAAGGAGACAGCAAAGATTCAAGCAGACCCCATGCTGTTCTCAGATGATGTTTTCACCATCGAGCCCTTGGTAAGTGATAGCTGAGAACCTCCTCCTCCTCCCCCTCCCCGAATAAGGTCACTCGGCAGATCCCCACCTCAGCTGGCTTGATGTGCCCCGAGAGAAGACATGAGGTTTCTGGCGAGGCTGGAGAGCTTGTTGCAAAAAGCAATGCTACCCTGTGGGCTCCTGGCAGGCAGCAGGAACCTACCTAAAGCTGAGCTCTGCTGCAAGGGCTCGACATCAAGGGAGCTTGGTGCGTGTCCTTGCAGTGTCCAGAGCGGTTGGTTACTGTAGGAAGTGGCACAGCTTACATGTGATGTGTGGGGCTTCCCAGAGGGTGTTGGAGCACTGTCAGTTCACAGATTGACCTGAAGCAAAAAGGAGGCCAAATTCAGCCCAAGGTCATGGAAATGCCAATCCCTCCCTGTAACCAGGACTTACAGCATGTCTGAGTCTCCCTTCCAGTGTCATTTGGGAGCCTGGACACAAGACTTGGAAACGGACTTTTTGAGTTCTGTTGCACACAGGGACAGAAAATCTTTTCCTGTTTCTGCAAGCAAACCCCCATGTCCTTCCATCAACCAGAGCCCTGATTATGAATATTGGCACAGTGTGAGATGAAGAATCCCTGCTGTCTGCGCAGTGCAAAATCCCTCCTCGTCTTGGAGTAAACCCTACAACAATCCCAGCCTCTGCTTTCTTTTAAAATAAGTTAAACTAAGTTTTTTCTTTCCAAGAAAGGGGATCATGTTCTCTTCTTGGTTATTCCTATCGCCCATCTAAGGCCAAGAGCCACCAGTGTCAGCACAACAGCAGCTTCACACCACTGTAGCTGACAGCAGCACGATGTGACCAAGAGCTTGTGTCAGGGCAGTAGGAATATTGTAGTGTGGGAGCTGATCAGCTGAGCATTAAGAGCATCCTGCGGTGTGTTGAGCTGTTTTTTGAGTGTTTCCTCGGGCTCTTTGTGTTGTTCACTCCTTGCTCTAAGTAAAGGCTTACAGGTTGAAAAGAAGAAATGTGATACTGGAAGGTAAATGGTTTGCTGTCTCTTTCTGTTTTAGGAGGGAGAGGTTGGGCCACATTGTTCAGCTGAAATCAAGGTGTTCTTTAAACCCCGAGAAGCCCAAGTCTATAGAAAAGTGGCCTACTGTTCCATCTCAGGTACGGCTCCTTCTCTTTCTCTCACCCACAGTGAGGGGGAGGTGCAAATACTCTTCCAGCCCACTGGGCTCCTGTGGAAGTGCTAGGAAGGGTCCAAGGTCAGCAGGGCAGTGCTAGCTCATGTCCACTGTCCCTGCGGCTTCCTGGTGGTCTCCCATGCAAGGCCAGGGCTCAGGACACTGATCCCAGAACAATCCAAGCAGTGTATGGATAAGATTTCATGCCATGGGTTTGCCAGTATTTCCTCAAAGGCCAAAGAGCTACACAGCAGAACAGCTTTAGGGAACAGGCACTAAGCCCCTCTGGAGCACTGACCTCCAGGATGGCTCCTCATTACATGGATCCATCATCAGGTGGTAGGAGCTGAGGTAGAAATGTGCTCCCTGAGCCTGGATCACCTCCCACTGCCCAGACAACAGCAGACCAGAGGTGGCTGAGCCCTGCTGAGCCCAGGCTGTCTGCAGAAGGACCACCCCTGGCCAGCACCTGCTTCTCTCCCTGCGTGGGAATTGTCACCTTCTGGCTCTCAGGCTGAAGTGTGTCCAGGTGGTGGCCACTGGGCTTGCTGTGCTCAGCTTCCAGGAGTGCTGTCAAGTCCTTTTCTGGGAGCAGTTATCATTGCCCCCCCACCCCGAGTCACCCCCTTACAGAGGTGGTGGCTTTGTTGTGCCCACACAGGGCAGGGAACACTCACAGGGCACAGCGTGGTTCAGGTTCCCCTGTCCTTCCCCCCTGTCTCTGCATGGTGCTGCTTAGTGTTTTTCACCTTAAAGTGGGAGATGGCTGTCAGGTTTCCATCTAGGGAATACTCTGGGTTTGCCCATCTACGAGAAAGAGGTGGGAGGCCCATGGCCCTCCAGCAGCCAGGCTCCCATTCTGGAGGGTGCTGCAATTCCTAACCCAGCCACTCTGTTGCCTGCCTTCCTGCTCCAAGCTGATGGATACAAATGTCATGAAACAGCTTTTTATTTAGACAGTAATTGTGCAGGGATAACTCAACAAATGCCATCTACAGTAATTACTCAGGGCTCATGCTAACAAACTCTCTTCCTGCCCACCAACTGCCATTGTTAGAGCTGTGGAAGGAAAGCATGGATTTAAAAAGCTGCTCCCAAGGCATTCCTTATGATGTCGTGCATCATGTGAAACTGTGCATCTCTGTTTGTTGACATGGCCAGATGAGAATCATGTTCCAAGCCAGTCACCAAACACAGGGACATTCTGTGAACAAGATGCTGAGTGTCAGAAAGCAGCGGAAGCTGAAGACTTTGGCAACAAAGTCCTGTGCTGCTGGGCTACTGCCCCCCAGTTTAGTTGGAAGCCAGGCAGCAATGCCCAACTCTTTGCAAGATTTGTCCCTTCACTGAATGGATTTCAAAGCTCCTCCAAGTGCATGGGAAGGAAATCAGAATCATGGAATGATAAAGGGCTTGGAATGGCCCTTAAAGATCATCTAGTCCCAAACCCCCTGCCATGGGCAGTGACACCTTCCACTAGCCCCGTCCAACCTGACCTTGAACACTGCCAGGGACAGGGCAGCCACAACTTCCCTGGGCAACCTGTGCCAGGGTCTCACCACCCTCACAGGGAAGAATTTCTTTTGTATATATAACCTAAATTTCCCCTCTATCAATTTGTCTCCATTACTCCTTGTCCTATCACTACAGAAATCATGTTTTAAACTCGGCATCGCATTTTCAGGGTGCAAACTGGTGGCTAAATGGGAAACAAGCCCAAGGGGTGGGTTAGAAATTGGAAGCCAGCCCCAGGGCATATCTCCTGAGGGAAGAGAAGGGTCCATTTCTTCCCCTGGAGCATCAGGAGCTGGTCTCACCCATCTCAGAGTCAGGGACTAGCACTGAGGCAGCCTGGAAAAAGCAGGATAAGAGAGTAAGAATTACTCTACTGAAATGGAAATCTCTCCCCAGGCCGTGAGACCAGGCTGCCCCTGCACCTCACAGGGGAAGGCCTCGGGCCCTGCCTCCAACTCAACTCTGAGGAACTGGACATGGGGAAAGTTTTGGTTGGAAAAGCCTACAGCTATGAGGTGAGCAACAGGGGCTGGGGTGGATCCTGATGGCTCCTGGGGCAGAGGGGAGCCTGGTGGACCTGTGGAATTTCTGGCAACTTGGGCAGTTGTGAGCAGGGAATATTTGACATACTAGTCAAATCTGGGGGGTTTCACAGAATCTGGATCCTTTTCCAGGGTCTGAAACGTGTTGTCTGTTGTTCATGAAGCCCCAATTCCTGCTTTTTGGCAACCTCCCTTGGAGATCAGCTGGGATGCTTTCTGCAAAACAACCCCTCAACACATGAAAGCAACACTGGGTCAAAAAGCTGAAGTGTTCAGAGGCTTCTGTTCCAGCCTCAGACTCAAGGCACCTTTGTGCTCAGGCTGTTCAAGAGCAGCTGGAACAAACTGGTTGCGTTTGAGCTCACTGCAAGAGAGAGCAACTGAAAAAGGTGGAAAATGAGGCACTACATCATACCAGACACTTCCAAAAGCTTTGCCATGGCAGGAAAGGACACACTGAGTTGTTTTCTTCCCAAAAGATTGTGCTCTTTCCGCATTTTTGATGCTGATACTTTATTGTTTCTCACTATCAATATACTAATTTCATTACATGAGAAAATACGGCGGATTAGTGGGATTTGGGGAGACCTCCAGGCCTTAGGATGCTGGCCCCATAACCTGCGAGGTGAATGCCCTTCCCCCCGCCCCTGCACGTGGCCCGACGACCCCGCAAGGAGCACACACAGACCACACAGGGAGGGACAAAGGAAAGAGGAAGTTTATTGTGGGGTTGGGGTTTATAAGGCTTTTAGGAGGGTCAAAAGGGGACCAATCACAAGGTCAGGGTCACACAGAAAAAACCATCAGGTAAAGGGTCAACAACCAATAGAAAGGGGTTAACAAGGGACCAATGAGAAACACCTCAGAACCCCTTCCCAGGACACTCTGTGTCAGACAATAGCTTCACAGGGGGTGTCGGGAAGAAGGAGACAGTGACACTGCAGAAAATACAAAAAGGCATTTTGAAAACATGTTTGAACCACAGTAAAAACTTCTGTCTCCATAATGTTTGAGCTGTTTTCCTCACCAATCCATCTGACAGGACTTTTTCTGTCCTGCATATGGCAAATCCATTGCCACAAGAAAAGGTGAATGAGTAGATGATGCTGTTAGTGCTGTCCTAAGCAGCTACGCTGCAGGTAAACCTCAGCTCAGCATGGGATCCCCAAGTGCAATTTGTAACACAGGTAACACATGAGAGGAGAGTAGTTTTCAAATTTCAAGGCAGAGGTTGAAATACGGGAATATTTTCAATAGCAGCTGCAAAGCTACAAAATGAGGGACATCCCTCTGCTTCTGCCTCAACTGTTCTGACAGGTTTTGCCAGGCTAACAATTGGGGAAAGAATTCCAAAGCAGATGGATAAATCCATGGCAATGGCAGGGTTTCCCCAAGGCTGTGTAGAGATGTGAGAGAGCAACTCTTTAGAGTGTGCACCTCACATTCATCCTTTCTTGAGATGTTTGGCTGAGCAAGGTCTAAGAAACTATCAGATTAAATTAAAAATACAATAACCCAAACAATCTACCCTAGCAGAGCTGGGGAGAGGTTCTGAAGTTGGTGATAGCACCGTTCTGAGGTGTCTTCTGCACGCAGTAAACTGGTTGGCTGCCATGGAAGCTGAATGTGTGCTGCCCTTGGCAGGATCGGGCACCCCTGGAGCAGCAGCAGCTCTGTGGGGATTCATTACGTGGCTGCAACTGCCCCACGTTGCTCCTCAGGCCGGGTCTGAATGAACTTGGTGATGCTGGCCAGGAGTGACCCGCTCCGTGTCCCTGGGATAACCCAGGAGTGACTCTGCTTATGTGAAGTTATCGCTGCTTTGCATGAAAACCCAAAGGCAGAACTTGTCTCCTGTTGTACTTTTTTGGCTTCTGCCACGTAGCAGCACATGGCCTCTTTTGCCTTTCCAGGGGTTAATCGTTTATTAGAAAGCACCTCAGCCTTCTGCAAGAAAGGAAGGTTGCTCATGTATTTCCATTTTGCTTTCTTGCTGCTGCAGGCAATGTTGGTTAACAAAGGAGCTATTGATGCTCCCTTCAAGCTCATCCCTCCAACCACAGCCCATGGCTCCTGCTTCACCTTTCTGCCCCAGCAGGGCATCATTCCACCCAATGGGCTCCAGCCCATCCAGATCTCCTTCAGTTCTAGCACCCTGGGGGAGTTCGAGGAAGAATTCCATTTCAACGTGATGGAATCCCCTAAGCCTGTGTCCTTGACTGTCAGGTGAGGAGGGCTCTGGGAGCTTGGTGGGCACGTCTGTAGCTGTCTCTGGGTAATCATCTCTCACCTGCCTCATTTGGTGGTGGAGCAGAGAAAAAAGGTGTTGCCCGAGGTCTTAGTCTTGGCTCTGATGTTGGCATCCCCTCAGTGTGGGGATGCCTTCTGCCCAGTGCAGGTACCCAGGAGCTGGAGTGACTCCTTCCTGCAGGGACCTCCCTCCGCCTTGGCCATGGCAGGCAGCGGGAAGGCATCAGCTTTGGGCAGTTGCTGGTCTCGGATGTCCCCTCTGAGCGCCCATCAAGGCCCCCAGGGCTTTGGAGATGGGCCAGCCTGGGTGATTCTGCAGCCAGAAGAAGTGGTTCTAAAATCCTCTGTTAATGATCTGTGCCGAAGGGGCAGCAGCAGCCTCCCATCATCCCTTGTGCCCGTGCACAGGCACAGGCTGTGCTCCCGAGTCCTGTGCAGGGAGTGCTCTGGGACCTCCTTTCCACAGCAGGAAGGGACTGGGGTGGGAGATGGGGAGCTCTGCAGCAGCAGGGACTGTCACAAGGACTTGGGCATCCTCCCATGGGCTGGTGCCATTGCAAAAGATAATCCTCGCCCAGCCAAGGGGAGAAGGGGTGATGAAGGAGAGGCAAAGCTCCCTTCTCAGCACAACAGCAGCATGAAGGCTTGTCCCAGCTAGTCTGAACCACGGGCTGGTGGGGTAATGTGGTGGAGGCAGGAAAGCTGATGCTGGGAGCTCTGGAGCTTTGGAGGTGGCTGTGTCTGGGCCGCTGTTGGGAGGCACTAAATCAAGGTAGTAAAGAAACAAAAGGAATCTGCAGTCCATTTTACCAAGAACATAAGGGAAATGGATAAAACATAACAAAAAGGTTATTACTTTGCAAGAGAAAAATAGTGAGTCGGTCTTTCTCCTAAGGCAAGGGCACAGAGCCATCTCTGGGTGTGTGTACAGGGTCCTCCATGGGGCCAGTAGCACCTCGGGGGCATGCCCTGCCTACTGTGGTGCCCTAAGCCCCATCAGCAGCTGTTGGCTCCCTCCTGTGCCCACAGACGCCGTGCTGAGCACAGGGTGCGGGGCTGGTTTGACACCCACGGGGCTCTGACACCAGCTTTGACCCACCTGAGCCGGAAGGACGGCCAAAGGCTTTGCAGTTCCCTTTAACCAAGCCGTTGCCTCCACTGTCCTCGTCCTCACAGGGGCCATGTCACCGGACTGAGCCTGCATTTCAGCACAGGTGGCCTCGACTTCAATGACGTCTCCTTTGGTGAGTGTTCCCTGGGCTTGGACACAGCAGGAGGGATCTGTGCCTTGCCAAAACGGAGCACTTGAACAGAAGAGCATCTGTCACTTGTGCCCTTCCATGGCAGCCTGCAGGGTGTTAACTCCAGGGCTGCTGGTGGCATTTTGCCATCGTGAGATCCGAAAGGACCAAAGGAATAGAAAGTCATTATTTTCTGGTGTCCCTCGTAGCCTCTTCTGCTCCAATCTCCCAGTCCTTGCCAGCAGAACGACCGTAAAAGTCCTCGTCCCAGGAGGGCCCGGGGATGGGACTGCAGGAGAAGGAAGCTTAAGCCATGTACCTTTAGTGTGGGATGCTAATTAGTGGTGTGAGGGCACCTCGTTATCCCTGAGCAGGTCAGATGCCCCAGCAATAGCTCTGCCTCAGGCACCTGTGTCCTCAGAGCCGTGGGTTTCTTCTTCTTCCCCAGCAGAAACCCAGCTCTGCTGACAGAGCTTTTGGCTGAACATCCAGAGCATCACCATTGGAATGCCGGTTCTGGTTCTCCATCTCAGGCTCACAAAAGGCTTTCTACTGAGATGATCTACAGTTTAAATGTGAAATCAGTCGTGGATTGACTGAAGGGCCATTATCATTCTGCACCCAGGATGCCTCTGTGTTTTCATGCAGTTCATGGACTTTTCAAGAAAACTCATTACCTTTCCTGAGCTGCTTCCTCCCCTCTCTGTATCACTCCTGAGCCCCTTCTTAGTTTTCTTTTGAATAAATGAAACAACAGAAAAGGCAGCGGGCACAAATATGGTTCTCTTATAGGAGATTCATCCTGTTTACTCTGATTTCATTCCTAAGACCTCCTCAGCTGAAGGCAGCTGTTGTATCTTTGCTTCTTTTAACCGTGCTGCTGACTGTTGTCTGCATCTGGTGACCTTGATCTCATTCCAGACTGGGACACCTGTGTTTGTCCTTTTTGTGCCCCTCCCGCCTCCCTGCTGGAGTCACTGCTGGAGCTGGGCAGTGGTCACTGTTGATGGGCACGGAGAAGCTCCCTGCTGTGCCTGCAGTTGGTTTTCCTCCCCATCTGGGTTCAAATGGCGCTTGGTAAGCAGGCCCTGGGAGATGTCTCCTCCCCACAGAGCTGGCCAGCCAAGTCACATGTCCACTGCAGAGCAGGCCGTGGGCTGGTGTACTGGCTCTGCAGGACATCCCCACCAGGTGTGGCTGTATCCCTGGCTTTCCATTACGGGAAGCAAGTCTCAGAGCTAAAGTGGTGTCAACTCTTGTGGGAAGCAATCCCAGCCAGTGTGCAGTGTGTCTGTGATGTCCTCATTTGCAAAGGTGAGACATGGTTCCTAATCACTGATCTCAGAGCAAGCCTCAGGTTTGCCTCTAGTGAAGTGGGCTGTGAGTTGTACGTGCTCAGTCTGGTTGCCTCAAGCCAGGAGATACCTTAAGGATCCTGCCTAAAGAAACTGCATTGGGGTGCTTTGCATCATGTTCCAGTTCCCTGTTCCATCCTCCCTTTCTCTTGCTGTAGCTTTTCCTCAATGACAACTCAGTGCTTTTATATCTTGAAAATGGTGAGAGTGTTGGCAGTGTTAACAGGGAATTTTATGGTTTGAATTTTCAGAGTAAATGGTCACTCTGGATGCACACTCATCAGTGTGTGGAAATAATTGATGATGCTGGTTTGGAGCAGTTAGAGAGATAGAAACTTGTGGTGTTCAGCAGGGCTAAGAGTGGGCATTTCCAAGGCAGCAACCTGGGATCAGTGTCCAAGTGATGATTAATTGCTTGCTGAGCTGCTCAATTAGCTGTACAGTTTCATCCTACCAGGATATTCACACCAGAAATCACAAAGTGCTTGGTGCCTACATGGTCATTTGTGTCATTTTCCTAGGCTTTCCTCAGACCTTGTCGTGCCACCTGATCAACACCTCCGTGGTGCCCATCACCTTCCACCTTCGCATTCCTGAGGACGGCCAGGGACAGCCCAGCCTTAGGAGCTTTGATCAAGCGAAAGACAACGCTCACCCATCCTGGGAAAAAGGCACACTGACTCAATGTCACGAGAAGCCAGTGGAATTCACCATAACACCCAGCACAGGGACCATCCCTTCCCAGGGATCCCGGGAGATCAGGGTAGGGGAGGAGTCAGTAGGTGGGGCTGAAGCCTCACTGGGCTGTGGGAGGGCTTTAGTACTGCCGGCTCTCAGCTTCTGCAAGGGAGGGATCTGCAGTGGTGTCGGAGCTGGGTTACGTGGAATGTTCCTGAAGGAGCACCATTTTGTCTCCAAAACCATAAGCTTAGATCACATGGTCAACAGAAGCCATTCGTGTGTTGGTTTTGAGTGTGACTTCTTTGACTGAGAACAGGCAGAGGAAGGATGAGGACAGAAGGTGGCTGTTAGAGAGATGCCACTGTATAAAGTAGTTTGCTTTTCTTCCCGGTCTCATTTCTCCTCTCCTGGGGAGCAGAATGAGTTGTGGTCACTGCAGGGATCCTCAGTAAGGAAAGAAAAGACTCAGCAGCCATCAACTGCCCGGCATCTGCAGGAGCACACCTTGCCCTCAGCTTCCTGCTGAAAAGCTGAACTCATTCTGTCCAAGTCAACACATTTCCTTTGCGTTTATGTTATTGTAGTCAAATGAAAAATGGGCCCCTAATTTGAAGACAGCAGTAAGTAGAGCTTTAGTCTCATTATACATGATTATGTATAATGCTTTAATTTAGCCACCTCTGCCCTGACAGCTGCAAGGTGTGTTTAACAAATTCAGTATTGCCAGAAGGCTTGTGTTACTCCCAGAGACTGTGCTCTAGGCATGGGCCAGCAGAAGAATTAAGGCAAAATCCTCCCTTCCCTTACTGCGAAACAAGAACCGGAGAAGACCACACGTGGGTAATGAGCTTTTGGGAGAAGGGAAGTATTTGCTGCTCTTCTCTTCCACCAGGTCACGCTGTGTTCCAATGATGTGGGACGATACGACTGTGATATGGTGGTGGACGTGGATGGTTTTGGCAAGGAGGTGTTGGCTCTGTGCCTCAAAGCCAGGTACCAGTGCTCTCCTTGCAGCTGCTCGTCCTTCCCTGTGCACCCACCACCAGCACAGTGCCTTGCTTGGGGTTTGCTGGCTGCAGCTCCAGGAGAAGGCTTGCTTAATAAGCTGGTTCTGCCCAGCTAGGTAGGAGAAGAGCAGTGCTTGGAAAGCAGCCCGTGGTGAGAAGCACCCCTGCTCACAGCCAGGCATGGCCCTGGGCCTTTTTCTCTGGGGAACAGGAATGACATTATTTATTGGCCTGGCTTTTGCTGCTTGAGGTGTAAAAAATTCCCAAGCTCCTCCTGTCCTTCTTCCTGCAAGAGGTGGGCTTGTGCTGGGTTCCAACCACATTGCAGCATTGATTTGGGACACAGTGAGCAGCCTGCTGAGAGCTGGGGTCTGGCTCAGTTAACGAGGGCACATGGCAGTGGGAAAGGGGCTCACGGTAGGAGTGGGAGGGGAAAGTAGTCCTTGATGTGGCAGGTGGGCTCAGGTTTCCCTGCTTCCCTCTGGCTCTTCTGAGCATTAACTTTCTCAGTTCTCAGACTTAACGCAGATGTTGTTGCTGCAGCCAGATTCCCTCCTGTGGTGCTGCCCTGGGTGTCAGTTTAATGACAAGAGGGATGCAGTTCCCTGGTGCCATTCCCTCTCCCAGGCAGAGCCGTCCAGTCAGTGCCTGGGCTGCAGTTTTGTAACACCAGTGCCAACGGGGACAGACCTGGGACCCGTGAGGTGCAGCAGCAAGGGAGCTGTAGGAACTGGGAGGATGATCACCCACTCCCTAGGGCAGGTGGTGGCTCACACCCTCAGCACTAGGCAAACGGCTGAGTTTTCTGACAGGGCAACAGCACCCTGGAAGAGAAGGGAGTTGTTTTTCCTTGAGCCTTGGCGAGCACTGACCCTCAATGGGAAGGCTCCTCCAGAGCTCATGGCTCACTGGGCCTGTTGGGGGAGTCCTTGCAAGCCTCCTTGGGCAAAGGAGGGGCTGAGGCAGCTGTGGGACAAGGCCCGTGCTCTGCCCAGGCACTTGGCAGCCTCTGCAGTGCTGAGTCTCAGGGTTTGCTCCTCCTTGACAAGACGTGTTTGAGTGGAAAGATGTGACAAGTGATTTATCTCTGTAGAGGTATTAAACGTCTGTTGGACAGTGAAAAATGTCTTATGCTCCATTCCATGCTCTGCGGGGTAAATGCTCTCCATTCTCTCAGTATCTCTCATTCCCTCGGGGTCATCTCTTTGCCCAGATGTGTCGTTCCTGAGCTGCGTTTGCTCACCTCCACCCTCGACTGTGGACCGTGCTCTGCAAAGGTCCCTTGCCAGAAGACGCTGACCCTTGTGAACCCGAGCCCCCTTCCAGGATGCTACAGAGTTCTCCCTCAGGTTTGGCATCTCATTCACCTCCTCCTCTCAAATACTACTGAGGGGTTTATTATGGACAAATGGGGTTTGGAGAAGACCTTGCTGCTTTCTATTCAGACTTAAAGATGTGCTGAGAACAGGATTCTACCTGAATGTAAACTATAGAAAGCAGTTAAATAGGAACCTACCTGAATATCAACTTCAGGAATCATTTTAACCTCTTCAGGAAGCAGTTTATAGTCTAGTGTTTGGGGTATTTTCTTGTGAGAGATCTTAGAAGGTTGTGAAAAGCTGTTGCAAGGAGGCTGCCAGCACAGGAGTGGGTGTCTGTGGATGCAGCAGCTGTTGGACCCCCTGAGGATACTAAGCCCCAACAATTCTTGCATCGTTTTTTGTGCCTTTCAGCTTTTTCCTGGGGATTTTTAAAAAACGTGTGTGAGTTGCCATTGTGGTAGATGTTAAGGAGTTTAAAGGTGCCTCTGAAGTTGCACTTGATTCTGTCCCTCTAGAGACACCAAGAGGCCGCTGCTCTGTGGTACTCCAGCCCCAAGCCGTGTGGGATTATCCAGGGTCACAATGTGGTGGAGATCCCCATTACAGTTGAAGTCCAGGCGGTGGGTGCTCATTCCATCCCGGTGGATATTGCCGTGTTCGGGAAGGAGAGATCCCCACTGGTGAGTGCGAGGGGAGACGTGTGCCTTTGTGCAGCTCATCCTGGGGGGGGTGGAGTGCACAGGGATTCTTCCAGGGAAAGCAGGGACTCGTCATATATGGCTGGTGTGGACAAGGACAGAATGCATTGGTGGCATAAACAGTTTATGCTGCAAAAAGAGGAAGAGTGGAGTCCTCCTAGGGAGTAATCTCAGCACATAGTTCATCTAAGCTGAAATTGAGGATTATTTTATTTTATTAATCTTCCATTTAAAATGCTGGTAACTGTGGAAACATCTCTTTTAAAATGTCATCTCTCTGAACACAAAAGGAGGATTTCTGGGAACCTTCAGCTTTCTGTGTCAGAAAGGAAGGCTGATGTTTGAAAAGTGGTCGCAGGGAATTAAACTTATATTCAAGTAAATGGAAATGATGATGCCAAATCCCCTGGATGGCACCAAACATCTCAAGCCGGGCCATTGCCGTTGTGCATGTAAACCAGTCAGCAGGAAGGCCAGGCAGTGCAGGCTGTGCAGGGGAGCCTGACTTTTAACAAAAACGCTTGCTCATAACTATCAGGCTGCTTCCTTTAAAGAGCAGGGTTTCTCCCCACCAGAGTAACCAGCTGTTTAACTGTCAGACTGTTTTTAACTACAGATTTCTTGCAAAGCTTTTACCTTTGGGCCAACAGTTTACATTTTGAACATTTCCCGGACTTTAATCTTTTTTAATTGGGAGGGGAATATGTCAAATGTTTGCCTAAAAGGTCAGCATTTTAGCTGGAGCATCACATCTGTCCCTAGAGAAGTGACTTGAGTGCGACTGAGCTGTTTAAGCTTTCTTAACTTTCCCTGTTGTGTGGGTTTGTTTTTTTTAAATCTCTCTTACCTGCTCCCTGAAACAGCAAATGCATTTAATGTGTACTGGAAAGACACCGCTTGTCTATGCAAGTGTGAATAAGATAAACTTCGGCAAGATCCAAGTGATACAGGACACTTCCCAAACTCTCCAGCTGTGCAATCTGGGTCTCATCCCTGCAGCCTTCAGAGCAGAGATCGTAAGTGTCTGTGGGGCCGTTTTCCAGGGAAACTCCCTGGTCAGCAGCAGCCCAGGACTTGGATTTTATATGTAAGGTTTCTATATCACTCTGTGGGAGAGAGGAGACAAGAGATTCCATCCAAGGCAAGAGAAGCCTGGCTCTGCAGGTGGTTTTAGCTGGGACAACCTTCAGTGAAATAGTTTGCAGAGTTGTAGGGGCAGAAGCGAGTTTGGATTGTGGTTACAAGTTCTCCCTTTATTTTGTGGAAGGTATTTAGCAGTGCAAGTCACGTTTTTGGAGCTCTGAGATGAAGAGAAGCCTGTGGCCCTTTGCTCCTGAGAGGGCAAGGATTTCCCCATGGTTTCCTCATACCATCTACATTTGCTTTGTGCCAAACTGCTGTTAATGGTAGAGACCAGGGTGTGAGGTCTGTCCTCAAGCTCTGGGTGGGGAGAGGAGTTTCCCCCTCCTGGGTGTCAGAGCAGCCGGGCTGTTGCACACAGATACAGCTGTGGAGGTTGTGCACCCCTGGAGCCTGTGGCCTCCATAGCGTTCCAGAGTATCTGGAGAGCAGCTGCAGAGAAAGGCTCTTTAATTCGTGGAGGCTGCACAGGGCAGAAGGAGCTGGGGCTGCTCCCCTGGCAGGAGGAGCTGAGCTGGTGCAGCAGAACTGGTGCAGCCAGCAGGGCTGGGCTGGCTGGCATGTGCTCCCCACTGCAGAGGTGTCTGTGAGGGGCTTGGAAACAGGCTTGGGAGGAGGTTTGTTCTCCTCCATGCTGAGGAAGTTTGTTCTCCTCCATGCTGAGTGGGCTGGGCTGCTGGAGCTGGTTGAAAGCAGCCCCAACACGGTGGGCGTGGTTGTGTCTGTGGATAAAGCATTAGGCGGTGGGGGAGAGTCCAGGCTCAGCCTCCTGGGCCAAGGAGGAGGAGAGTGAGTTTTCCACTTGCTGCTTTCCCAGGTATCTGAGGAGTAAATGTAACCTCCAAGTGAGGGATTTCCAGGGCAGCTCTCTTCAACTCCATAATGAAATTCTGCTCTCCACCCCTGCAGAGAGCAAGCCACCTCAGATGGGTGGTGCTGGCATGTAAATGATAGTTTTTGCATGCTCACACCAGGCCGGGACCTGCCGAGCTGTTTCTGTACAGCTGTCCCAGTGGAAGGCCTTGCCTCCCTCCCCAGGGCAGCTTGCAGCTTTCTTACCCCATCCACAGAGGGAAGTCCATGAGAAAGCAGAGGACCAGAGTGCTTGGGAAGGCTGGGCCATGCCCACAGAGCAGTTTTCTTTCTGCTTCCTGTTTTCCTGCCCTGCTATAACCATTTAGAGCTGACTTTTCCAAAGCAGAGGGCTCCGGGGCACCTCTTTGCAGCTGATCAGTGGGAAGCCAGGGCTTTGGTCCTTCAGGGGCAAGGAGTTTGGTGCTGGGCTTTTGCTCAAGCGGTTTTGCAGTTAGTCTTCAGGCTCTCAGCAGTGTCCTCCAGCTGTGTGGCTGCTGTGGTGGGATTTGAGCAGTCGTGGCTTTCTGCAGCCTTGAGCCTTTGTGAAAACCCAGCTCTGTTGTGGGGAAGTTAGAAGAGAGAAAGTTGCTTCCCTTGGCATACACTCCGAGAAAAGATTGGAGGGGGAATAACCTTCTCCTGAGAAGGAGCATCCCTTGGGTTGGGCAAAACTTAAAAGTCTGTTAAAATGGATTAAAAGAGGGTAAAATACAGGTTGTATAAGCTCTGCTCTTGCCCAGACACAGTAGCTTAGATTTAGGGAAATGAAGGCTTTACAATTTTTATCCTCCTCTCTGTAGTCGTTCCTTTTCTCACACCCCACAAGTCACCAGGGTCCATGGTTTCCACCCTAAATGCATGTTTGGCTTGTCTTACAGGGTGGCAAATGCTGGAGTATTGAACCCAGGGAAGGAGTGGTCCCTGCCAAGGCTGAGGTTCCTGTGGTTGTCACGGCAAACCTGGGTGACACAGGGAGATTTGAGGACAGCATGAAGCTGTTCATTGAGAAAAGCCTTACCAGTGTCATCCCCATCCAGGCTGTGGGCATTGGCACCACAATTGCCATTGACAAACCGTTTGCTCCGGAGCTGAATTTGGAACCCCAGTTCAAGTAAGAGATCTCTTAACTCCTGCCTCTCCTCTTGGCTCAGCAAGGAGCAGTTATGCTGTAGGCTTTCAGGCTAAATCTTCTTCAGTGCTCCAGGCCCTGGCTGTTTCCTTGAAGCCAGAGCTTCCTTTAGAAACGTTGTTATGCTCAGGTTTCTTAAATTATTAGAGAGACGCCTCTGCCCGAATTAAGGGGCAAATGAGACCATATACCAAAGTCAGTAGTACGGATTTTTATTTAACAGTAAATGTGAGGTAGAGATAGAAAGAAATGGGAAAAAGAGAGAAAGGGGGAGAGAAAAAGAATGACAAAGACAGATTAAGTAGAGAAAATATCACCTCTGCATGGCTTCCATTGACATCCCATTGATTCTCTTCTTGTGGCCCTCTCGGAGGTGAAGTGTTCTCAAAGTGATGGTTTCAGTCTGGATCCATTAGGGGAAGCCCAGAATGGTGAGGGAAAAAGCCCACGGTGATGAAGGAAGTCCCTTGTGGTGAGGGAAGCTGTGGAAATACTACATTGTCAGTATAAACCGATTTCTCTTTGCAATGACGACATCAGAAAGGCATCAGACTTTATTTCTGGTCCATGTTAAGAGCGGGAAATGAGAACGGTCTCCAAGCTGTTAACATCTCAGATTGCTTGCTGAGAGCACTTGACTGCAGGGAAATAGCAGCTCCCATGACCTTTTCCATCTCTGCTTCTCCTCCAGCCTCGTTCCCTGCATTTTCCGGTTCAACGTGACAAACAAGGGGCAGCAGTTCCAGCGGCTGTACTGGGGCATAGAAGGTTTCAGCACCTTTCGACAGCGTCATCCTCTCCCTGCCCTCAGTGTCACCAAGGGCAGAAATGCTTCCCAGAGATCCACCCCTCCCGTATTTAAGCTGCGGCCACAGGGGATGTATCTGCAGCCAGGCGAGACTATGGAGCTGGTGCTGGAAGGCTTCTCCAGCACTGTCCAGGTGAGGTCCCTGCCAAGGGCCGAGCCTTCCCCATCAGGTCCCCTCCAGTGGGGCTTCTCCTGCAGCCCCTTGACATTTGCCTGGGAAAATGAGCGAGGGCCTTCAAGACAGTTTAAGGCTACAGGTTTCCATGGCAGCACTGGTGGCTTTCCTTGCTGGCCACCATCAGCTGCTAAGGCTTTTTTGTGATTCCATAGCTACCAAACCGCAATGCTGATCCCAAAATACGGGCTGAAGGAAGTATTGCTCCTTGGGGGCAAACAGTGTCACCTGCTGAGGCACAAAGGAAGGGCAGAGAAAATAGGTTACACTTAAAGCAGGAGCCCAAGCAGAAAGTGAATTAAACAAGTGTCAGGTGGTTTCTTTAGGGTAAGCAGGAGGCAAAAGAGAAGCCCTGTGAAGGGAGTGTCTCACAAGTGCCTTTTGTGGCTGTTGGGGTGCAGTGTTAGGGCCATTGGAGCGCAGAAGAAATAGGCTGCAGCATAGGAAGAAAAGGGGGCAGTGTCTGTAACTTTGTGGCCCGTGGGGGGTGAGGAGCCAATGCAGGGCATTTGCTGGACACCCTGCCAGCAGCACTGGTGACAAGTGACTCTTGCATGCAGGAAGTGGAGGAGAAGCTGGTGTGTGAGGCAGCCGTGGGACCAGAGATAACAAAGAAAGAGATAATCAAGACAAAGGTCACCTGCAAGTTCATTTCTCCCACGGTGCAAATATCATCCAGAACAATCACTTTCTGTGTGGAGAAGGTAAGTCTCTGGATTGCATCCTGGCATTTACTGCATGGCTCAGCGAGAGAGCTCATGGGGGGGGGGTGCTTGTGTTAACAGCCCTCTTTACCCTTCCTGAGGCACTTTGTAAAGTAAGTGAGGATGTTTTTAGAGATGAGACTGGTTTTTAACTTCCTCAAAGTAGAATTGCAGCTACGGCTGCACTGCTGAGGGGGACCATGACCACCTGGAGAGAAATGCCAGTTTCTGTGCTCACTGTCAAGGGAGGTTTTTGAGGATCCTCCAATGCACGGTGATGTCTGAACACCAGTGCTGTAGGGAAGCTGGGAAAACCAGAGATTCCTGTGAATTCCTCAGGCTGGTGAGGAAAAACCTGTCATCTGCTGTGTGTCTTTGCCTTCTCTGCTGTTGGTATGGATGCTCTATGGTATAGCTCTATTGTACAACTGTGTGCATTTCCCCAAGCCTCACCTGCTTCTAAGGAGCCACCCACATCCTCCAACTGCAGTGATTATGACACCGAGGCAAAGCAGGTGCCCTTTAGTCTCTGGATCCCAACTTCTGCATTATCATTCCCACAAGGTGTCTGGAAAGGATGTTGCATTATTTAGTTTCTGTGGTTTTGGGTCTCTCCTCAGGTTCCCAGGCTTCCATGGAAGCACTGAATTCTGGGAACAGGCAGTTTGAATGTAACGAGAAGCTTTTCAGCTCTCCCTGATGCCTGCCTGTGCTCTGCTTGATGCCACACTGATTTATGGAGTGCTCTGGCACTGCAGCTGTTTGATATCAATACATCCAGAACTAGTTTACCAAACTCTGTCTGGTTTCTCTGCACCATGCAAGAAGCCCACCACAATGCACAAACAAGAAGAAGGAGCTTAGGCTGATCATAGCTCTGAGGTTATAGACACCATGTGCCTGTAGCAGAGGCAGCAGGACACACATTGCAGAGGGACTGTTGAGGTTTCTGGCTGGCCACATGTTCATGGAATGTTCAAAGTTGACCTTGGGCTGCTGCAGGATCTCCACCATGGGCCAAATCCTGCTTGCTTTTCTCTTCTGGCTGGCATCACTGCTTCTAGGAGGCTGCTGGAGCCAATAAGGCTGTGAGAAATGACTGTATGTGAGGGAAGATCATCTTGTGCTGTTCTGCCCAAGAGAGGAGACAAACGTTCTGGGGTCACTTTCTGCCTTTGATCTTGTTCAAGCAGCTGCCTCCTCTCAGGGGCCTATTCCTTCCTCTGTACATGGGAGTGTTTCCTTGTCTGCCAGGGGAGGCTGTAATTTCCAAACATGAAAAGAATCAGCTCTAGAGAAAAATGTCCTGGAAGGTTTAGAATCAAAGAAGAAGAGTAAATAGAGATGTATGCACTTCTGAGGTTGAAAAATGTGAAATGCGTTGGAAGGGGAAGGAGGTCTGTGG